AATGCTTCTATAACTGAGGATTTCAGAGTGTTTAATTTGTTGATATACATGTTATAGAGTATAATAAAAATCGGGCAGTCATTCACTAACGCATTGTAATTAGTACAATTTGTTTCCTACCTTAAATATCTCATGCTTTCTCATTCTTCCCACACTTTCTCTACACTGTCATAGAAAACTGCATTCCATGTTGTCCTTGTATCTTTTATGCTAAGACAGAACATCATCATCCATTACTGAAAGTACTGTCTTAAAGCTCCTATATTCATCTTCCATTAAATGAATTTGAGATAAGCTTGCAATCTCTCTTTCCTGTTACTATGGCTGGTTGAGCCCTATGAAATAGTGTCACATAACTGCAGATTGCCATTATAGGTTACTGGTTTCTAGGAGGCCAAATCTTTGATGCTTCTCGTCAATCTTTTTACTTATAGTGCCATAGACCACTTCCAGCATGTCATAATTTTAAGAGTTTCATCAAAAGGTTGATGAAACTTGGGGACTCAACAGGGTTGAGTCACACATGTAGTCACCTATTGGGAATGGTTATAGACATTTCCCCAAACCTGAATAGGAAACTGTGGCTGCCAGACAGTTAAAGGGCATCTTAATCTACATGTTATTGCCTCCTATTGGCCAAACACCTGAACAGCTGTAGGCTATTCCCCAAACTGACAATGCTTCTGTACCCTTTGAAACCTTACCCTATGAAGTGTATTATCTCCACCTTGCCTTAGAACAAATTGTGTTAATAAAAGCAAGGGTCCTAGACAAGGAGGCACTCTCCTCAGTTCCTTTAGCTGAAGGTCCTCTGACCCCCAATGCCTTTCAAAATTATATCTTGTCTCCGGACTCTTTATTAGTCTCTGGATTCCTATGTCATCTATGCGCAGCCCCTTTTCCAGATTCCTGAACCCTTCTTGATGCTGGGACATGAACCCCGGCACTGTAGTATTATTTAGGATATAGGTTTGGCTGAATGTAATACACATTAAAATAACTATGGCAGACACAAGATATTCTATCGCTCTTTTACTTAGTAGGCCAAAAACAGGGGGTCCCAGGCTAGTATGGTGGTTGCTCCTCAAGGCCAACCAAGGACACAAGATCTTTCTATCTTGTTCCACCTTCCCCAATGAATTGCCCTCCTTTTTCCTACAAGTGATCTGCTGCTTTGTCCATATTCCAAGCAGCAGGGTGAAGAGGGGAAATGGGCTCTCTTCTCCCATTGGCCATAACTTACATGGCCATATCCTGTTGCAAGGGCTGATGACAGTCTTAAAATTTTTTTAAATTGAAATAGAAAATATATACTGAAGAGTGAAAAAATCATAAATGTATAGCTTGCCAAACTTTCATTGACAACAAATATGCATAACCAGCATCCAGGACCAAAAAAAAGAAAAAAAGAGTACAGTATTATAAGAACCACAGAACCCTCCCTTTATATCCTTCCAAAGGTGACCACTCCTGTGTTCTAACAAGAATAGTTTCACCTACTTTTGTACTACATATAAATGAAATCATCCACAAATCATTTGTCTCTGGATTCTTTGGTAAGATCTTATGTGAGAATCAGCTATATTGTTGTGTGACTATGTTCCCAACCAAAAATTCTATTACTATGAAAGGATAAAATATATCAGGTCTCTCTCACTGACTTCCATTATCTTCCTAATTGTTCCCTTTTTCCTAAAGCCTTTTATTATCAACTCCCTCGCTCCATATTAGCTGATTACTTTGCTGGAAAATGGAACAAGTGAATTCCTTTATCACTATAAATATACTGCATTTATACTTGTATCTCCTTTCTGCTAGCCTCAAATGAATTAGCACAGAATTACTTCTGCCATATTCTGTCAAAGGAGTCACAGGGCCCGCCCAGATTCAAGGGGGTAAAAAAGTAAAATGCAGTTGTTGTTTTTTTAAAATATATTTTTATTTCAGAGAGGGAGAGAGAGGGAGAGAGAGAGAAACATCTATTATGAGAAACACTGATTGGCTGCCTCCTGCATGCCCCACACACGGGATCGAGCCCGCAACCTGGGCATGTGCCCTGATGGGGAATCAAACCATGACCTCCTGGTCCATAGGTAGATGCTCAACCACTGAGCCACGCTAGCTGAGCTAAAATCCAGTTCTTAATGGACCACATTGCATAGGAGCATGTGGGGTAGAAGATTTTGTAGTGGCCATCTTTGAAAAGTGCAGTCTAGCACACCAAACTTGAAAGCATTTACAGAACCAATAATATGTCATATTCAGAACTGTGAGAATAAATTGTTTTAAGCCACTAAATTTTGTATCAGTTATCTACTGTCTCAGAATGCTACATAACAAACCATTCCAAAATTATGTGGCTTAGAATCATCTGCATTTATTATTGCTCACAAGTCTATAGGTCAGCTGAGTGGTTCTGCCAATCTAGGGTAGGCTTGGCTGATTTCAGTTGGTATCTAATGTATCTGCAGTCAGCTGGCAGGCTGGCTGGGGACAGATTATCTAGCATAGCTTCACTCACGTCTGCCTGTTTACCAGCTATTGGCTGGTACAACAGGTGACTGGACCATGTGTCTCATTATCCAGCAGGCTAGGCGGGGCTAGGCTTGTTACCATGGTAGTTTTCAAAACCTTTGGAAGAAAGTCTACTCAGATTGGCATTATATTATTTCCTCTGCATTCTATTAACCAAAACAAGTTCAGTCCTCCAGATTTAAGAGATAGGTAAAGAAACTCAACCTCTTGGTGGGAGAAGCAGCAAAATTACATCGCATAAGTCATGAAAATATGGAGGGATAAAAAACTGGGGACATAGTACAATAAATCTAACTCAAATAAATAAAAACCTAATTGTTTCATTGACCTATAAAAGTTCAATCCCTTTAAGATGGAAATCTATATAAATTTTTAAGTTTACATTTTATTGTGGACAGTATTACAGATGTCTCCCAACTCCTCTCCTCCACCCAACCCTGCCCACCCCAACTCAGGTTCTCATTGCATTACTGTTTGTGTCCATAGGCTATGTATATATGCATATAAATTCTTTAGTTAATCTCTTCCCACCCCCTTCCCTCTGAGATCTGTCAGTCTGCTACATGAATCCATGTCTCTGGACCTATTTTGTTTGTCAGTTTATTCTGTTCATTAGATTTTATGTGTAAGTGAAATCATGTGATATTGATATCAGAACCGGAGAGCAGGAATTCTTCCCAGGGTTATGTTTCACAGAATTGAAGAATGAATCCATGGAGGAGAGGAGTTCAAACAAGGCAGGAGTTTATTGTAAGCAAACACAGGCTCCCTGCTCAGGGAGGGGATCCAAATGGGTTGCCGCCAAAACATTATGCTATTCCCCTTGTATCTGCTAAAGGCCCATTCTTTGTCTATCTGTGCCACTCTCTGATTAGTTCCTGGCCGTTTTACAACATTTTATTTTGCACTTGTAAGAAAAACATCCTTGTCTCAAAAAATCTTATTTTTCTGCTATCTTGTTATTCTGCAAAACATTTTGTGGTTTCAGCTAGCTCCACGATTCCTCCTTCTTCCACCCTGTACCCTATTTACCTAATTCTGCTTCTCACTCCGCTCAGTATTACATGAAATCCCTTTTGTTTTAATTCAGTTTTCACTGGCCTCGTTCCATCCTTTCCTATTCTTCCTATTCCATTTATAAAAGCACAGTTGACTTTTTCCCCACATAAAAGTTAACTTACCCTATGCAGTGGTCGGCAAACTCATTAGTCAACAGAGCCAAATATCAACAGTACAACAATTGAAATTTCTTTTGAGAGCCAAATTTTTTAAACTTAAACTATATAGGTAGGTACACTGTTATTAACTTAATTAGGATACTCCTAAGGCTTAGGAAGAACCACACTCAAGGGGCCAAAGAGCCGCATGTGGCTCGCGAGCCGCAGTTGGCCGACCACGGCCCTATAGGGATTCAATAAAGCTTCCAACACCATAAGCTAGAGAACAAGTAACAGTTAATTACAAATGCAAATTAATTCCTCTGTATCCAGTCTGAAGCAACTACAGAATAGAGTAAGTGAATCAGACAACTCAAAGGTCAACAAGTGAACTTTAATGAATAATATTGGTAAAAGTGTTTTTGCACAGATATGCAAGTCTAAAGCATATAAAAATGAACAAAAAGATTCTTTCTCTCCTTAAGTACTTCTTGGTACGGCTATGACTCAGTTTAACTTATCTATTTCAGAGCTTAAAAACCAAGAAACTAACACATTTTTGCAGTTAAACTTGAGACACCTACATTTATTGTCCTAACACTGGACATACTGTAATTTGTTACTCTTATTGATAGGCTTGCCTTTTAAAAGTTTTCCTAGGAAAAAAATATAAGAAAAAGGTAACTATATATATTAGCGTCATTCTTTGAACATTATTTAGGAATAACAGAGTCTTAAATATAGCTCAATTTTTAAAAACATTGACAAAATGCTGGAATGTTATTCTTATTTTCAGGATCTCTTTTTGAAAAATACATGAGTATTAAAAAAATAATTTTGTCCTGGCACTGGTAGGATGAACTACATCTATACTGTTTACAAATTCAACACACAACAGTGCCTGCTTTAAAAGAGATCAACACTAACAGGTAACATGAAAAAGAGAAGTGAACTTGTGGAGGTGCATTCATTCCAGTGTACTGTTAATGCCTCTCAGGTTTCACTAGCACATTACTAAAAACAGATATATATACCATAATTTCACAGATATTTAACAATTTAACTTTGCCTACAGATATAGAGTATGCTTACTTCTTTGACAGCTCCAGTCTTAACTGCAAAAAGTGTCCCAACACATTTTTTCAACACAGGTAGCTATCAGTGTTTCTTAAGAGGGCCATTCCAAATACTGCAGAACATGTAGCATTCCTGGCTCATTCACTAAAAGCCAGCAGGTTTCACAGTCACTGTGAAACATACCCATAACATTTCCAACTGCCCCTTGATGAAAACCACTGAGTTAGATCCAAGATTAATGTCAATTAAAACTTCATAACTTTCACAGAAAGTAACTGCTTCAAAATCTTTAGTAACAAAGACAGAACATTTTGTTAAAAACACATTGTAATTAAATGTTATTTTGAAAAGATAAGCTGATTTCTTCAAATTTATGATGATCTGAAAAGATCAGTTGCATAAAGTGCAATCCCTATTTATCCCCAAATGCACACATATATTTACAGGAAAATAACTGCTTATGTTCTGGCATATCTTACCCCACTTATCTTAGTATAAAAATATTTTTGTCTACTACAATAAGATAAAAAAACATGTAGAGCTTCTTAATAAATTCCTTCACACTGATGTTCCTGAAAACTGTTGTTGTCTTTGCTCCAAAACTTGCTGATTTAATAGCTGTTGTTGTTTCTGTAAAAACTGCACCACTTCTGGGCTTCTTAATAATGACTTAAAAAGAAAAAAGAAAAAAACATACTTACTAATAGCATTATTTTTATGGGATTAGACTGTAAACATGCTATGACATTACTGCTATGTCCCTACACAAGATACAATATGCTTAGAAAACAAAACATGCCTAAATTAGTGTTTGCATCTTATACACTGCATTTAAACTGTAAAGTAATAAAATTTGATGTCATACATCAAAATACTAAAATCTAAAAACTGGGTAAAACTTGATCTTATTGGTGACGTTGTACACAAAGGAAATGTTTTATATGATATAGAGGCCCGATGCATGAAATTCATGCAAGAGTAGGCCTTCGCAGCCCCGCTTCATCTGGAAGGTTGCCAGGAAGGTTGTCCAGACGGCTGTTGGGTCGATTTGCATATTACTCTTTTATTATTATAGATGCCAGCATATATATTCTCTATAAAACGTAAGAGTAAATAGCCAATAGCAGTGACCCAGGATTTGAGCAAGGAAAATGAAAAGAGGCCATATGTGAAAATGGCAGTTAAATGACACTGCAAATACATTTAAGACTGGTATTGGAACTCAAATTTCTCCCATGAACCTACTAAGTCATTCTAAAGAAATCAAAATTATGTGTGTTTATTTGGTGTGTGTGTGTTTAAATATATGTATGTGTGTAATGATAGGTAGATTACCAAAATTTCTGAAAAGAATACAACTGCTTTAAAACAGCCAATACTTTTTGTACATGTTTCATTTTAAAATACAGTTGTAATCATATCCTAATATATAAAAAGCCAGGGGCCACCACAACCGAAACAACCAGACGGACGACCAAACAGCAGGCTGCGTGGGGCAACAGGGCCGGCAGGGGGGTTAGTGAGGGATGACCAAATGACTGAACAGCAGGCTGCATGGGGCAACCACGCCAGTGGGGGGGGCCTGAGGGGTGACCAGGCCTGCGGGGGGTGGGGTGGGGGGTGTGGAAGTAAAATACAAAGGTGCGGAGGTGGATGCAGAGAAGGATGGTGGCTGAGGACACGGTTGTCTTTTTCAATTGGGAGGGAGTCTCAACCTCTGACCTCCAGTTCCGGGCGAGTCTCTGGGGACCCAGACTCATATTGGAGAAACGGGACTGTCTGGCATCGGTTGGAACTCGAGGGCAGTTTTCTCTCAGAGGTGCTCACAGCGATTGCTGGGGCCTCTGAGGGCC